ATTCTCCTGCCTCAGCCTCCCGAGTAGCTGGGATTACAGGCATGCGCCACCACGCCCGGCAAATTTTGTATTTTTAGTAGAGATAGGGTTTCTCCATGTTGGTCAGGCTGGTCTCGAATTCCCGACCTCAGGTGATCCACCCACCTTGGCCTCTCAAAGTGCTGGGATTACAGGTGTGAGCCACTGAATCCGGCCTGTTTTTGTTTGTTTGTTTCTGAGACGGAAGTCTCACTCTTGTCGCCCAGACTGGGGTACAATGGCTCGAACTCAGCTCACTGCAACCTCTGCCTTCCAGGTTCAAGAGATTCTCCTGCCTCAGTCTCCCAAGTAGCTGGGATTACAGGTGTGCACCACTACACCTGGCTAATTTTTGTATTTTTAGTAGAGATGGAGTCTCACTATGTTGCCTAGGCTTGTCTCAAATTCCTGGGTTCAAGCCATCTTCTCACCTAGGCCTCCCAAAGTGCTGGGATTACAGGTGTGAGCCACTGTGCCCAGCCCACACCTGGCTAATTATTAACAACTTTTTTTTTTTTTTTTTTGAGACGGAGTCTTGCTCTGTCGCCCAGGCTGGAGTGCAGTGGCGTGATCTCCACTTACAGTGAGCTCCACTCCCCGGGTTCAGGCCATTCTCCTGCCTCAGCCTCCCTCAGTAGTAGCTGGGACTACAGGCACCCGCTGCCACGCCCGGCTAAATTTTTTTTGTATTTTTAGTAGAGATGGGGTTTCACCATGTTCACCAGGATGGTCTCAATCTCCTGACCTCGTGATCCGCCCGCCTCGGCCTCCCAATTTTATTAACAAATTTTTGTGGAGATGAGGTCTCACTCTGTTGCCCAGGTTAGAAAATGGGGTTTAACCAGCCACTCCCTCCTCAGGTGATTCTAGGACACGCCCCAAGAACTGCAGACGCGACAGAGTCACAGCATCTGGGCAGATGCCCTCCTCCCCCCACCGTCTGTTGGGGCCACTATGTAGTTGTTGGACACCCCAGCTCGCCTGTTTGGGCGCAGAGTGCTAAGAAGCGCCCCTTCCGCTGGGGCGCAGGACCCCACGCAGGCTGCCACTGCCCACCTGGTCAGTGCCTGGAAGACCCGCCTCCACTCAGTGTCTCGCAGGAAAAGCACCGCCTGCTGCAGCAGCAGCTCCGTGGGCTGGAAGAGGTGCACATGGTACAGGATGGCCTCCAGGTCCCCATAGAGCCGGCTGCGGAACAGCAGCTGCGAGTTGTACAGCACCTTGTATTTCCCGTGTTCTGACCTGGGAATCCTGCAAGAGACAGAAGGCCAAGGGCCAGAGCTAACTTGCATGGAGGCTTCCTGGGACACCATGGTGAGGGTGCACTGTCAGGTACAGCTTTTATGTTGTTTAAAAACAAGCCCAGGGGCCGGGTGTGGTGACTCACGCCTGTAATCCCAGCACTTTGGGAGACTGAGGTGGGCAGATCACCTGAGGTCGGGAGTTCGAGACCAGCCTGACCAACATGGAGAAACCCCATCTCTAGTAAAAAATACGAAATTAGCCAGGCATGGTGGTGCACGCCTGTAATCCCAGCTAGTTGGGAGGCTGAAGCGGCAGAATCGCTTGAACCCGGGAGGCAGAGGTTGCAGTGAGCCAAAATCATGACATTGCACTCCAGCCTGGGTAACAAGAGTGAAACTCGGTCTCAAAACAAAAACAAACCAAAACGAAAAAAAAAAAAAAAGCCCAGGGGGGTAGAGGCTGCAGTGAGCCCTGATGGCACCAGTGCACTCCAGCCTGGGCAACAGAGTGAGATCCCATTTCAAAACAACAACAAAAGACAAGGTTGGTAATA